GGACATCCAACCACTGCACCTCTGGCACCGTCTCGCCCGCCACCGTTCCGAAGTCCCTTGAAGTACCCGGCGGGGCGCAGACAGCAAGGACAGACGGCCGCTTAACCCCCCCTTGGAAAACGTGCCTCCAATTTTTGCAGAAAAAAAAGAAAAAAAAAAAAAAAAAACAAAATGGAACAAATAAAAAAAAAAAAAAAAAAACAAGAGGAAAAAAAAGAAAAAAAAAAAAAAAAAAAAAATAAAAACAAAAAATAGAAAAAAAATAACAAAAAGGCGCCCATGCTTTCAGAGACCGCGCGCACCCCGGCGGCCGAAGACTGCATGGGGAAGGCGTCGTCAACGAATTGGCCGACGACGAATTGCTGAGCGGAAACCTTGTCCAGCAGCGCGAGCTGCTCGTCGGCGGTGCGGAGCGCGCCGATATGACTGTCCCAATCGGGGGTGGCAGAGAGCTCGGCGACTGTGGCCTCTAGTTGCACGCTGGTCCAATCGACGGGGCGCGTGGAGCTATCGAAACGCGAACCGACGCGCTGCCAGCTAAGGGTCGCGCCTGCGGGGGGCGCGATCCCCACGCCCACGACACGAGCCTCGAGCTCCGCCACCATGGCGCTGACGAGCGCGCCGAACAGCTGGACGCCCGCCTTGCGCCCCTGGCCAACGCCGAAGCCTCGCAACTGGACGACGCGACCGAGTAAAGGCCCCCAGCGGATCCGGACCTCCTCCTCCTCCTCCTCCTCCTCCTCCTCCTCCTCCTCCTCCTCCTCCTCCTCCTCCCCCTCCTCCCCCTCCTCCCCCCTCCGCCCCTCCGCCTCCTCTCTCCTCTCATACATCCTCCTCCTCCTCCTCCGCCTCATCTTCCGCCTCCTCCACCCCTCCTCTCCTTCCTCCTCCTCCTCCTCCTCCCTCCTCCCCACCTCCTCCTCCCTCCTCCTCCTCCTCCTCCTCCCCTACCTCCTCCTCCGCCCTCCTGGCCTCCTCCTCGCTCCTCCTCTCCTCCTCCTCCCTCCTCCCTCCTCCCCCCCCCCCCCCTCCTCCCTCCTCCGCCTCCTCCTCAATCCTCCTCCTCCTCCTCCTCCCCTCCTCTCCTCCTCCTCCTCCTCCTCTCCTCCTCCCTCCTCCTCCTCCGCCTCCCGCTCCGCCTCCGCCTCCGCCTCCTCCTCCGCCTCCTCCTCCTTCCTCCTCCTCCTCCCTCCTCCTCCTCCCCTCCTCCTCCTCCTCCTCCTCTCCTCCTCCCTCCTCCTCCTCCTCCTCCTCCCTCCTCCCCTCCTCCTCCTCCTCCTCCTCCTCCTCCTTACCTCCTCCTCCTCCTCCTCCTCCTCCTCCTCCTCCTCCTCCTCCTCCTCCTCCTCCTCCTCCTCCTCCTCCTCCTCCTCCTGGGGCCCGCTTGGGAGCATCTCGGGGCCCTCTTGGGGCTCTGTTGGGGGTTTTTGGGGCCCTCTTGGGCCTTCTTGGGTCCCTTTGGGGCCGTCTGGGGGCCCTCTTGGAATGTGTTCGGCCCCTTTGGGGGGCCTCTTGGGCCGTCTTGGGACGATCTTGGGGGCCTCTTGGGCGCGTTGGGCCCGTCTGGGGGCCCTGTTGGACCGTTTGGGGCCCTTTTGGGGCGCCTCTGGGGCCGTTTTGAGACGATATGTGGGGCCTCTTGGGCCGTCTGAGGCCCTTCTGGAAAGCAGAAAGGGAGAACCCGAAACACATGCAAAAACCCGACAGAAAACCCGAAAACGGCAATTAAACCGTTCCCTCTAGACCTCTATGCACTCCCCCCGTAAGGGCTTCGCCCCACACTACAACGTCATTCACTCGTACCTCGCTCTGTCCGTTGCCTGGGCCGGCACGGGAACGGAAAGAGCGCTTCAGCAACCTGCCCGAGATGCCTCACGGTACCCTTCGCTCCTGGGAGCCTCGGTGGTAAGAGCTTGTTGCGTCACCGATCGTTCTTGGGAGCCTTGCTGGTAAGCGCGTGTTACGTCACCGCTCTCTGTTGGGAGCATTGCTGGGAAGAACTTGTTGCGACACCGCTCTCTGTTCAGAGTCCTCGTGCCCAGAGATGCTTACGTTGCCCCTTGCTCTTGGGAGACGTGGTGGTAAGAGCATA